CAGAATGAGGTTATATAAGATTTTTTGGAAAGATCTTGAAGATACCTACAAATTTGGTCTTTTAAATTTTTTCAGATTCTAACTTCTTCAGTATGTAAAATGCATATACGTTTAACTAGTCGTTTTTCCCAGATTCAGGCCCGTGTACGTGTGCATGATATCACTTCTATATTCACATATATACATTAGATTGATCTCACATCAATTCCTAGCATACTAAAATATTAATAAATATTATTTTTTTATAATATAATATATTTATTATTTATTATAAAATATTTAAATTTTTAGGGTTTTATATTCTTCCCCCCTTCAAAGAATTTTGTCCCCGAAATTCCGCAAACGTATCTTAGAGGTTAATAATACATTATCATAAATCTTCAAATATAAAATACTAAAATATCTACACTTAATACTCTAGAATGTGAATATTCCCACTTAACCCCTAACTAAACGGAACTAATACGTCGAGCGAAAAATCCAAACAAAGAACCTCCTATATGTATACTATGTGTTCTGAATGATTAGAAGTTAAGTGTTAACACCTCATTCTAGCGTTAAATATAAATATGACCATATGGGTAATCATGAACACCAATCAAAATCAATCAACTTATCTGTTCAAACAGGTGCGGGTAGTCGCGTAATCATGAACACCAATCAAAATCAATCAACTTATCTGTTCAAACAGGTGCGGGTAGTCGCGATGCATAGCATCTTCGCGCTCCCAAGAATCTTCCTCGATATCTATACTTAACTATCTAGAATACAAATACTCTCACTTAACCCTTAACTAAGCGGAACAAGTACGTCGGGAGAAAAATCCAAACAAGGAACCCCCCATATATATACCATATATTCCGAATAATTAGGAGCTAAGTGCTAATACCACCATTCTAGCATTAAGTATAGATATGAGCATATAGATAATCATAAACATAGACAAATCATATCCAAACAATTTACTTGCTCAAATAGGTGCAAGTAAATCCAGCAGCGTATCAACAAGCAATAATAAGTTGATAACAAGTAATTAATAATAGTATTGTTAAATATGCTAATCAATATTTACCAATCGAAAATCTTACTGCATCATTCAGTCGACCACCGCGTAATATATTGAGAATCTCAAGCCGGGTAATAGACCCCCTGGTCCTATGTACACTTTAATAACACTAGAAATAGGGACAAAACAAAAACTATAGTTAGCAACTAACAATTAACAGCAAGAACAAACCAGTAAACTTAACCACCGATCCGTAACTTTAACAACAAATCAATAACCATAACAAAAACCCGTAACCGTAATAACAAACACGTAACCTTAACATCAAACCCGTAACCTTAACAACAGACCCGTAACCTTAACAACAAATCAATAACAATAACAAAAAATCCGTAACCTTAACAACAAACCCTTAACCTTAACATCAAACCCGTAACCTTATTAACATAGGAGGAACCCTAACAACTAATTGATAACCTTAAAAGTGAAGCTGTAAAAACTTGTGATATGCGGTGAATACTTACTTGTTACATCTACAAATGCAAAAATGACTGATTGATAACCTTAAAAGTGAAGCTGTAAAAACTTGTGATATGAGGTGAATACTTACTTGTTACATCTACAAATGCAAAAATGACTGAGAGTTTTTTCTCCTCTTCCGTCAGCAGCGCGACAACATCTGCTGACACCTTATAATTATGTACAAATGTGTCCTTACCACCCAAAAACTTGATGATGAAGCCTCCTGGAAAGGGAATCCCCTCGTTCAGCTTATTCCTGTATATTTCTTCTTCTGAACTCATAGGGGAACTCATGTGTTTTTCCCAGATTGAGTGGGGGTCACTTTATAGCCGAGCAGGCGCCAACTCTGCTACCTTTTTCTGCACCTGCTCTTTCTCCTCCCCAGCCACTTCTACTATAGCCTTGTCCCCTATGTTGTCTTTTTCTTTCTTCTTCTTCCCTTTAGTGTAAGGGGTGACTACCCACTTGGAAGGCTTCACCGCTCTTCAAGGGGTGCAGCAGCGGACACCTTTGCGCGTGCCCCCTTTGCACCCCTCTTTCTCTTATTCAAAGCCCTTATAAACCTAATAGGAGCATCTTCGTCCTCAGTTAATGTGTCAGATGCTGGTGGAGGGGCATCCTCTGATTGCTTTATTTCCCTCCCAGTGTCCTCTCTTAGAGTGTCTGTTTTTAAACAATCTATTCGAAGTATAAATATTGAGAAAACTTAGCCCCATCTATCTAAACATAACAATCAATCTGTAACCCTAACAACTGATGCCTAAACATATGGTGAAAAAGTTACTAACCTATACAAGTTTGTTGAGAAATGGAGTGAGAATTAATTGATGGGTTTATAAGAGTGGAAGAATGTAGTAATAATGGATGAGAGTGGGGAGTTAATTGAGAAATGGAATGAGAGAAAGAGAGGTGAGAGAGAGAGAGAGAGAGAGAGAGAGAGAGAGAGAGAGAGAGAGAGAGAGGCAAAATACCCCTTTTAATACCCTCACTTAAACCAATACCCCTCTCTCTCCCTCTCCTATTCTTCCCTCTTTTCCACCTCTAAGGAACCTCTCTCTCTCTCTCTCTCTCTCTCTCTCTCTCTCTCTTCATTTTCTTATGTTTTTAAATTTTTTAAAGGGCCCACTTAATAAAGGACACATGAATAAACTGAAAGGGTATAATTGGAATTTAAGAAAAAAATTAGGGAGGCCCACATATGCAAGTATTGTATTTTAGAAGTTGGGTTTAAAGACAAACACAAAAAGATAATTGGGTTTAAAGATACAAACAATAGTGATTAGGTTTATAGATAAAGTTGAGTAAACAAATGGGGTTAAAAATAAAAACCCATATATATATATATATATATATACGGATAGTACGGAGAGTTCGAAGAGCTCATTATCGAACTCATGAGGATCAGCATGATGGTCGCTAGCATATGGCGTGTGAGGATAGAGTATATGTACGTTGACGAAGACGAGGTGGATCTTGCTCGCACGACAGTGAAGCTAGTCTGTCACAGCCCCACACGCAGCCAGAGAGCGAGCACGTACAATCTCAAGTTGAAGACCTGAGCGGGTACAAAGAGGGAGATAATGGGAAAGGGACAAACTTTTAGATTGTATGTGTAGTTTATTAGTTTTTCTGCTTAAACTCTATTTGTAACTAAATATACTTGATATGTTCGGATTTGTTAGAAGTATTTTGGCATATGGATATGTGTATAAGGTATCTATTGTGTTAGGCTAAATAACACTTAAATATCGTATAGTTTCACTCCTTTAGCATTTATATAACCTCAGTTGTATTTCATAGCATTTATATACCATCAATTGGTCAAAATTTGCAAGTTAATACCCTATATTTTCCAAACGTAAAAGTTTTCATATAATATTCTTATATTAATTTTAGAGCTTTTTAACCATTTATATTCATTAAATTACTATTAAACCTACCCAAATTGTAATTTAAATGTATCATAATTGTATTTCAAAAATAGAATTTAGAAAGATTTAACAATACATTCAACGAACTTATTAGAGAGAAACTTAATAGATTAACATATAAATATTATATAAAAACTTTTGAATAAAATTTTTTATATTTGTAAAACTTAGGGTATTAACGTGTTACTTTTAGCTAATTTAGGGTAAATAAATGCTAAAAAATACAACTAAAGGTATAAAAATTCTGAGAGAGTGAAACTACAAGGTATTTAAATGCCATTTAGCCATTGTGTTATGATATTGTGAATTGATTAAATGTGTTTTAATTTATATTTATTTCTTAAGTTTATAACTTATATAATAATTATATTGTTTAGTAATGTATATGAGGCGGATTTTTTATTTTTCATTTTTTTTGCAACTTATACATTGTATATATACAGGTTATAAGTCCATTGTGATCCGTGCATGTTTTGTGCACGTTTTGGGCTGCTCAGCTAAGACAAAATCTCTGTCTAACCCGCAGAACTACTAGTCCCATTAATATTCTAAAACAGTTCACAAAATCCATGAGACTAGTAATCCTGTATATTTTTTTAGTGGCCGATTAGCAGCCACTAAATACACGGGACTACTAGTCCCGTGCGTTTCATAAACTCAACTCAGCGAAACCGACATGGCCAAAAAGAGGCTAAATATTTAGTAAAACAGTCGGCTTTGCTAAATATTTAGCAAACTAGCCTATTTTTAAAATTTTCCAAATCCAAACAAAATACGGAACTTGGCCAGTGATTAAAAAGGAAAAAATGAACATGAGTACGCGCCAGGTAGGGGTCGAACCTACGACTTTCTGCTTAGGAAACAGACGCTCTATCCACTGAGCTACATGATACAGACACATCATGTGCCACACTCCCCTCTCTGCTACAGTAACCGGGGCCCACATGAGATTTATTTATAAATCTCATGTGGGCCCCGGTTACTGTGGCAGAGAGAGGAGAGTGTGGCTGAGGGTGTGGCACATGGTGTGATTGTATCATTTTTGATAGTTCTATTGGTCATGAGGATAGCTCGTCAACTGTTAATTTATTTTAATTTTAAAAAGAGTCGAAAATTTCACTAAGAGTGTACTCGCACCTGGGCTGATACTACAGTGGTCTATTGACCACAATTAGAACTAAAGGGAGTCTACTCACAATTGGGTGATAGTACAGGAGTCTGTTCGAAATTAACCCTTTTATTTATTTAATCTTTTTAATGTTACCTCATAAAAAAAAATTTGTTGACCATGAGGAATGAATGAGTGAGAGTAGGTTGGAGGGAGTGAGCTGCGCCTGAAGGGCTATTTACGTAGGCAACAATTAGAGAGGAACTCTTTCCTGCGATTTTAACTTAATTATATTAAAAAAATATTCATCTATCAGTTAGCTAATAAATGTTTAATTAGGAGGCATGCACTTCATGTCACCACACATTGTGCACGTCTAACCGATCACTCATCCGGCACACGTCTAAATATAAGCTTCTACACTCAACACCATCAAAAATCTTAAAGAGGCACTTGAAGAACTAGAAATCAAAACATTTGAGCACTTGTTCATGTAAAGAAATGAGTCGCGCGATTCTTGGCGTCGTGTTAATATGTTCCTCTGTTCTTCTTGGTATCAATGTTTCTGAGTCGGCTGAGTTCAATGTCGGAGACAGAGATGGTTGGAACTATAACGTAGGTGACTGGCCTAACGGCAAGAGCTTTGCGACAGGCGATGTTCTGGGTAAACCTAAGAACACCCACTTCCACAATCATTTTTGTAAAACCCACCTTTTGAATTTGAGCGGTTTAGCATGCAGTAACATATGCAACGAGATGCGATATTTTGTTATAATTAAGTTGTTGTATTTTATTGCAAGTTAATGTTATATTTTGTTGCAAGTTCTGTTACAAAATTGTTGAATATAACCTATAGCATTTCCTATTTCGGTTGATAACGGATATATATATATATATTACAGTTTTCAACTACGCTCCTGAGGAGCACAATGTGGTTGTCGTCGACGCTGCTGCATATAACAGTTGCGGCACTAGTCCAGGAGCTGTGGTTTTCACGTCTGGAAATGATCGGGCAACGCTGGCGAAAGGAGACAACTACTTTCTCTGTAGCTTCCCTGGTCATTGTGAACAAGGGATGAAGATTGCAGTAAATGCAGCTTAAACAGCATAGATTACCACTGAATCCTTCAGATTGGTCGAGATTGAACTTTGAGTGTGTTATCTACTACCTTTTTCAATGATCTGTAATAAACTACATCTTAAGAGAGAACTAATTTCTTTAAGAGTATCTTATTTACAAGTTTCTTCACGCATAGCCTGGGTCGAATTGTCAAAGAGTACTGATGGAAGTAGCTAAAAATCTATTAAACAAGCTGTGAGATGTAATTTTTATTTACTAGTGCAGCCAAATCCTCTCAATTTTCTTAATTTGATTTTGAGAGTACAGACCATTATTTTAGTAAATTACAATCTAATTATAGTACATTACGAGCCTGTCATATTTGCACCTGCCTAATATGCTCATTCTAATTTTACCTTTTCCCTTCCACAATTAGCATGCATCTAATACTAATATGGCTCCAATTATATATTGATTTGCTTCTTAAAATGAATCCGAATGTGTCTATATGCAATTAACCCAAATATAAATTACCATATAAATTACCATAAATAATCAAATATATTCCCCTGATTCATGTAATGAATCTAATATTTATTAGCATATATTGCAAGCATGCATTTCATGTTATCATGCAGGGATTATGCACCTGCAGAAGATTAATTCATCCAGCAATATACATATAAATTACATAGAGCCTCTACACTCAACAAGCACAAAAATCTTTAGAGACATTTGAAGCTCTTGACTTGATTATATATTTTAGAAAAAAAATGGCTCGCACCATTCTCTGTGTTACACTAATGTCTTTCTACCTTCTTGTTAGTCTCATTAACGTTGCTCGGTCGGCTGAGTTCATTGTCGGAGGCGCCGATGGTTGGACTTTTGACAAGGAAAACTGGCCTGAGGGCAAGAGTTTTAAACCAGGCGATGTCCTAGGTAAAATCTATGCATTTGTAATTAATTTTCATATGCCAACGTCTTGCAATTTAATTTTTTTTGTTGAGTATTGCAAGAGCTAAATGCATATGAACTATCATAACGTTAGCAGTCCATATATAATTGAATAGGTTAATCACAAATTACAAAACGGATTCTTCATGATCGGTATGACAGTAAGTATAAGTAAAATAAAACAGTGTAAGCGTAAATTTGTGGAAATTCGTGAGGCATTTGAGAGGCTTAAATTGAAATTGGAATTGAAGATATTCAAATGTACACATTTATGAATAGACAAGGGGATTGTTTGTTAGATTTAATAGATGGAGAGGGCTTCTTGGAAAACAGGATGTAGACGAAAGGGCTTTCTTGTAATTCGTCCTAAAGTAAGGACTGCAAGATACTGAAAGCCAAAACTAGTTGATTTGGTGTTTGAGAGTAATATTACTGTCTGATCTTCATCTAGAGATTTAATAAGAAAGTACATCTTCTGATCAAATTTAAAGTAATACCCTCTCGTCCTTTTGCTTTATAGTTTTATGCTTGCTATAAACTCTCCATATTTAATTAAACTAGTTGATTATCTTATAGATATAGCAATAACACTCAACCTTTAACATTCGATGTTGCAGTTTTCAACTACGCTCCTGAGGAGCACAATGTGGTTATCGTCGACGCTGCTGGATTTAACAGCTGCACACCTGCAGCTAACTCTACAGTTTACACGTCTGGAAATGATAGGATCACGCTGGCCAAAGGAGAGAACTACTTTCTCTGTAGCTTCCCGGATCATTGTGTCTCAGGCATGAGGATTAAAGTAAATGCAGCTTAAAACTGCATACAGTACTTCTGCAAGCTTATTTTAGTGATATTATATATGTAATAAGTCAAACTTGTTATACACAAGTTTCCTGGCCCATTCGACCGCATAGGAGTAATTATACATCTAAAAAAATTTGCTTCGTGTACTGCACTCTTCATATTCCATAACTGACTATGGCAGATTCATCGAAGCATAGAATGTTGAAAAAAAATTAGCACGGCTCTCAGAGGCTATAAAAAAAGTTCTAAGTGTTAGTATTTATCCCCTTTCTACTGCACAAAATGCCAGAATTATGGTGAGGATTAAGGATTATAATTTTATACTCTTAACGTGTCTAGTCACGCCCCTATGGTCTGCAACTCAGTGGAATCGTTCGTTGATGGCGATTTTGTTTCATATATTTCTGATAATTCAAGAGTAATATTTCAACAGTCATATCCCCGACAAACCATATGATTTCAAGAATATAGAACATCTCTGGCTTCAATGAGTATTGAATTTCTTTCACAGTTTAGAAAAAGAACATATGACAATTATCAATGTCAGTATTCATATAACTTTCTAACTACTTCATGTTAAATACAAATACAACTTTCTAACTGTCACACAATTATATACATATGTAAATAAGTATGTGTCGCTCATTTATGAATTTAAACACAGCAGAAGTGGCCTTATTAACCCTTGACTATCAAAATCCACCATCAGAATTTCGACCCCTCTTCGAATATATTCTGACATATTTTGAAACAAAAATTTGAATTATAATACACCTTTCTTGCTGATATAACTGGAGGGTTTCTACAAAAATTTATTTACGACTATTTTCTCTCTTCCGTTAAATAAACCTTATACTCGGAGTCAAAAAAGAATCAAACTGTCCGTTAAATTCCAATTAACAAAAGAATTGCATGTGTCAAACCTATTGCAGCCAAGAGAATTCTCTCAGTACCAAGCAACACCATCTCATTATCACAGCATTGAGACATCAAACGCATTGGAGAACGTATAATTATATGAATTATAACCATTCTTGATATTAATGAATATTGATTATGATAACATTCTACACATTACAAATTCCTACACTCCTCAAGTTCAAAAGACAAACTATCACCAAATTTTATAGTAAACAAAAGATTCTACAAACTAAAAACCATCTCAACAGTCTTCATTCTATCAGTACCAATCAAAACCAACTTATCTTGATAAACATCGACATACCCGAACGCATTCGATCCAGGGGGGCACTCGAGCGCAGCCTCGAGAACGCAATGATGAACACCGAAAGAATCAACACTGTACCCTCCCATATGCTCGTGACCACCAAAACAAGCCTTAACACAACCATAGCGGTGTATTATTTCCATGACCTCTTCATAATTCCAAGGCAAAGCCTCCGGAGTTGCTGCGCTAGGATCCAGAGGTTGATGACAGCATATAATCACCTTCTGGTTCTTCTCCGTTGAGTCCAGCAAGATGCGGTTAAGCCATTGAAGCTGTTTCCTGCCGAAGGCTCCATTGAACATAACGAATCTCCTCTCCAGGCCCAAGAGTCCAGCTGGGCTGTTCTTGTTGGAATTGGGATTCTTTAACTGGAGGATCATGTTGGCTATTGTTGTGTTTGGATGATCTTGAGGCCAGCCGATTGCGCTGATATCGTAAGGATCAAGAACGACGATTCTGAACCCCGGTGAAGGAGAGAACTCATAATATGCAGTGCCATCACCTGGAGATGGAATCTTGAGAACCGATGTCAGTTTTTCGCGCGGGAGGTTGTAGAGGCAGTGGTTGCCGATCATGTGATAGACTGGACCGTCGAACTTTTGGAATTCCTCGACTATCTTTTCTACGGTCTGGAGAGATTTCGATTTCGGGCATAGACCATCAACAATGTCGCCAAAGTTCAGCGAGAACTTGAGTTCCCGATGACCGTTCCAGCTGGCTATTGCGCGCTGGAGGACGTTGATGCTGTGTTGATAGTAGCGGGGGATGCCGCGGAAGGAGAGCCCGTCGGGGATTTCTGCGTGTTGGACGTCCGATATCACTCCGAAAGAGAAGAGGGGCTTCTTGGTTTGGACTTGGTGCATGGAGCGTTTGTTTGCGGAAGCCATTGTACTGGAGTTCAAGGGAAAGAAAGTTGTCGTGATGAGATTTACCCTACGTTTTAATATATACTGAGAGCAATTGGAGGTTAGGGAGGAATTGTAGTTAGAATAAGATTTGGCCGTCTACGATCAAGAAACTTTAAAAGTTTCTATTATATAGTAGGAAAGGAATCCTTTGCTTCAATTGTAAAATATAATATAGGAGTATTAAGAAACTCAAAGTCAATGTGTAAAGATCTCTTTGCAATTTTACAATCTTATCTGTAGTAAGATCACGAAGAATTGGCTATAGAAGTTTTAAGCGGCGTAGGAGTCCTGGTTCAATTAATTCGATTTAGAGCTAATAAAAGAAACATACATAGTTAACTAAATAAATAGAATATTACCAAGAAAATAATCCTAATAAAAAGTTTCAAAAGAAAGAGGCTTTCATGGAAAGATTGACCAAACGTTTAGAAAAGATTATCCCTTTATACTTGAGTGAAATCAATAATAGAATGTTCGAAAAAACAAATGAAATTCATAGATTTTTTTTTTATACCTCATAGCTATAGCAGTTCCAACTGATCAGGTGAAAAAAAAAGCTAAAAATTATGAAAATACTCAGAGAAATGCCAAAAATTTTCGATGCCAATAATTAAATAGAGTGACATATTTCTGTTCATCTACGACATTTAGAAACTTGAATGCCAAACAACAAGTTTACGTAGAGGTAAAAAAAATAAAAGCCCTTTGAGATTAAGCAAAAGTACATGCCTTTTACTTCAGAACAGAGAAAGGAACAATAAACGTAGTAAGTTTAAATACAAACCAAGGTATTCTCCTTAATTAAAAATCACAATCAACTACTTACCTAAGCAATATAGATCTTGGTTTTATATTTGGGTACCAAATAAGAAGAAGCCTAAATTATACTTTATTTTTCTTCCACTTAATTATCATCCAAATAATTATGGTCTATTAACAGTGGGTTAATGCACATTGAGTATGAAAGTTTTCAAATTATTCGCATTGCTATATTGAAATTTATTCACATTGGGAGATACATAAATTTCACATTGAAAATCTAACGCATGCACATAAAATTAAAATGGAAATCTGAAGAAAGGCAAAAAAAACGCAATTACTGTGTGAATAATTTTTTGGCACATAAAATTAAATTGGAAATTTGAAGAAAGGCAAAAAAAACGCACTTACTGTGTGAATAATTTTTTGGAGATTGTTGATGAAGAAAACGATCTTTTAAAAAAAATTAGCCCCTATCTCTCTCTCTCTCTTGGCCTCCCACTTAACTTCTAATTAAAGCAGGACAGTTTGTTGCGGTTAGTTTGGCGGTGTTTATTTTGCAATGGAACGCAACCAAACCAATTCATTAATGTTTTCGTTTGGTGGAAGAAAATGACTTGGTTTTTCTTGATATTAAATTTAGAGTGGAGCTAGAACTACTATCTAAGATACAAAGTCATAGATATAAATTCAAATTGAGAATGATTTTGATTTTCCTTGGTATTAAATTTAGAGTGGAGCTAGACCTACTCCTAAGATAAAATGCCATATATCTAAATTTAAATTTAGAGAATGACTTTGATTTACTATTTGTCTAAGATACAAATGTAGGAGACCTAAATTTAAATCTTAGATTTCTAAATTCAAAGTTTTAATCTTATGATGTGATGCAATACACAAGTTTTATTTGAAAAAAATTCAAGGTTTTTTTTGGGTGATAGTAAGGATTTTCTTTTCTAGATGTCACTTTCAATGGGGGTGATTATATTATAGGTTGCCTCAAATACTCAAATCCATATTGCTTTGAGAGTTCTTTTTTAGCTTGGATTGTTTTGATCAAGAGTCCTACTTACATTAGACTTTGCACAACCAATCATATTAGAAGTTTATTCCTACTTAGTCTCTTGTTGGGTTTTAGGATGTATGGACTTCTATTCTTATTAGAACTCTTATTCCTTGAACATCAAAGAGTTGGGATCTTTAAGACTATATAAGAACAGTCTTTCAAGCCAATTAGATTCATTAATCTTCAGAGCACCAATCAAGAAGAGAAAGTTCTTTTGTGAAGCCTATTTGATATTCTTCTCTTTTGTTCCTTTAGTTAAGAGTTGTATTAGGCTTATAGGGTGTTATTTGGGATTGAGAGATTGAGAGATCCACTTTGTATTCCTCACATATAGTAAAGCTTTTCTCCTCCTTCACCCATGGACGTAGGCTACAAGCCGAACCACGTATATCTTTGTGTTCGTGTGTTCTTGCTATTTTTCGTGCTCTCGTGTGATTGATTAGCTTATCCTGGGGAGTTTGTCATAACAAATTGGTATCAGAGCCCTCAACTATCGATCAGACGAGAAGATGATGACAACTACTATGAAGTGGGATATCGAGAAGTTTGACGGCAACATCAGTTTTAGCCTTTGGCAAGTTAGGATGATCGCGGTGTTGACATAGAGTGGATTGAAGAAGACTTTGTTCTGAAAGTCGAAGAAACTGGTTACTATGACGAAGGAAGATTGGAATAAGTTGGATGATAGAGCTCTCACAACAATCCGATTATGTTTGAAAATTGAAGTTTTGCAAGAAGTTCTCACAAAGAAAACAGTCGCTGATTTGTGGTCTAAATTGGAGGATTTGTATTTGACGAAGTCGCTCACTAATCGCCTCCTCTTGAAACAGCGTTTGTACATACTTCGGATGTCGGAAGGAACACCCATCAAATCTCATATTGGTGAATTTAATTCTATGATTATAGATTTGAGTAAGATTGATGTTAGGATCGATGATGAAGATCAAGCCCTATTGTTATTGTGTTTTTTGCCGACTTCCTACAAACACTATAGGGATACTATGATTTATGTGACGCCCCAGGGTTCACACAAGGCTGCAGTCCCAGATGAAACCCGGATTTTCAAACCTGCCAAACACCAACCATCATGCTATGACATATTTTACCATCACAATCACTATCTCTCTAGTGGAAACAATAAATAGGTGAACGTACAGACATGCAAAATAGAAATATGCAACATTGGATATACACAGAAGAAGCATAAGAAATATCAAGAATGAGCCAAACTGAAATAGAATAGAAATATCTCTGAGTGTAAGCTGGATCTCAAATACAATGAGTCAAATAAATAAAGTTTCACAAGAGCTCTCAACTCTAAAATAAAGTACCAATCTAGAGTCTGAAAATAATCAACTACATGTGGAGTTCTGCAATAACTATAAAGTATAATAAATAGCTAAATGGACAACTAAGGAGTCCCATCATCCTGCGACTCTCCGTGCGTCGGACTCGATGCCTGAAAGAAGGGAAACAACGAGCGCCAAAACGCTAGCGAGATCATCACTACCTCTCCCTAGGGAAAGGGGTAGGAGTATATAAGAAAATAGAGTCAATACTTACATATATCAAATCATTCATATAGCTCTCTATGAAAAATAAATAGTCAAGGAAACATACTCAAATCTCCAACATAAAGAATAAATACATCATCTCGAATTACATCTGAGTAGCCTGCTCTAATATAAGAGGATGTCAACCAAACCAAAACGAATATAACTACCGTCCATAACGGGAGTGCCAAAATCTAAAAAAAAATACCCTACTCCCGAGTAATCTATCATGGAAGTAAAACTTACAACTGATTAAATATCTATGTGTGCATCATCTTGTGCTATAGCGATACTCTTGTAATGTTCTTACTCAATCACTCTGCGACAATAGGATTTATTATCTCCCTATTTCGGATACATGTAATAATGATACTATTGTAATACTCTTACTCAATCTTCTGTGGTAATAGGTTTTATCTTTCTATTTCCGGATACGTGAAAGATCAAATACTAGTCATGTGTATTTATAAATTTTAACTTGTGATAAAAGTGTGTTAATTCAACACAAACTAAGCATAAGTGCACGTATCTCGGTGTGCGTGTCCACATCTGAAGTTCACCATCATCCCAGGTATTTAACAAGTTTTAACATTATAGTTAATCTTCACAAGGTCAAGAGAAACGCTCGACAAACAGAAATCAAACCAAAACCATGCACATGCCAACATCAGACTGGCGGTCGACCGTGGCGGTCGACAGCGACGGGGTCCAGAGACTACCCGGGTCTCTGCCCTGCACACGGTCGACCGTGGCGGTCGACCGTGAGCCCAAAATCTAGTTTTTTTCGAGGATTTTGTGTGTGTTGTGTTCACGTCGTGTTTTTGTGATTTAAACATGGTAAAAACTTCATGAATCTTGCATACAAACATGTTACAGAAGATAGAAATATCTGGAAATAAAATCATCATATATAACCATGATTTTATGCATTATATTTATATTCAAAATCCTAAACATGCATAAAAGCTCAAAACGACGAATCAAACTTCTTTCTTTAGATTAACCACGTTTTAAAATCATCTTCAGATCTTAAATACATCTGTAAAATTCATTCTCAATCTTTTTAGCATGAAAAGACGTAATCTTTATACATATAATACAAACGAGTTGTCTTTTATTCATAATCTAGTCATTTAGACTCTACAAAACATGTTTAAATCTTTTTAAAAGTGTTTTGAAAACTAGGAGGGGGATTACCAGAGATGGTACTCGCCTGAGATTGTCGAAAAAAGTTTTAGAAGCAAGGTTAAAAGAAATCTCCACTCCAAAAGCCAAAAACCAAGAAAATCCCGCTCGAAAGCCTCCAATCTTCTCCAAGAAATCAAACTAGGGTTTGGGGGTTGTAGGCTGTCTAAAAATCACAATATATAGCTTATTCAAACAAGCTCCGACAACGGAGGTCACAATCAGACGACTTCCCAATCACTGCATCCGCAACTCCACAATCGCCACAAACACGACCTCACTTCTGAGATGATTGATCTTGATGGCTGTGACAACAGCATGAGATGTTGATGAGCAATGGGATGATTTCAGAAATAAAAGGTTGGACTTAGTTGGTGAGTTGCTTGGTAGAGAGCTGAGGGCAAATATCCGTCTTTAAGACACTATGGATGTTGATTCCCGTCTAGCTCCTACAACGAAAGCTACAATCAAATAGCTTTCGGGTCGATGATCGAAACATACAGTCGAATAGTTGCTTGGTAGAGAGTTGAGGGTAAATATTCGTCTTTAAGACACTATGGATGTTGATTCCCGTCTAGCTCCTACAACGAAAGCTACAATCAAATAGTTTTCGGGTCGGTGAACGAAAGTTGTGAATGGAGGGATTTTCACATAGATCGAGAAGAGTTACAATTCAACGATACTTCTGACGATTGATGAAAACTCTATGCAGCAGTCTTCACAATCTACAGTGAAAGTTACAATCTGACGGCTTTCACACCCCACAACAGCTAAAGCTAGGATTATTGAACAACGGTCCTTGCAACGCTCTACAGAAGAAGTTACAAGTCAAATGGCTCCTTCTGAAACGCGGATGTCATCCCCGCGTCACAAAGTTGGAAATGAAGGCGACCCTCGCGTCGTCAATGCACAAGCCAAGCGTGACAGTTCTAAAACAAACTCGACAGAGTTAAAGGATCGGGATTTTTGATAATCAGATCAAGGGTTGGATTCTTTATCATCAAAACCACTCAGGTTTGGAGATTCGGCAACAACAGCAACGAAATCCTTGGAGATAGGATTTTTGAATCAACCTCAGAAGATCAAATTCTGAGAGGATTCTTCGACAACAGAAAAACAGCTTGATCCTTAACCGAATTTTCGGTTCCAACAACTCTATTCACAGAGTTCAAACTCGTTCAGAGTTCTCAAACTCATTCAGAGTTATTCATAAAACTTTCCACGAAAGTTCATCGTTCCCACGAGATAAAGATGGTCAGATCGTCAACAGAGAGCAAGTTCGATGTAATCAATCGAAGGAAGCACTCCATCGCTGCCAAGAAGAACCCAGTTTTAAACAAAGGGGAAAACCAAATTCGTTTTCCTCTTTTTTGTAATCAAGTTGTAACCGAGATCAAAGGAATCAAAATCACATTTTCTTTATTCTCTTCTTTGCAATTTTCCGACTCCGCTGGGGACTAGCTTTTCCGACGATGAAGTGGTGGCTCAGTCCGACGTCCACCTCTTGGGAACGACTGTAGAAACTCTCGTCGTAGAGTTTGATCAGGCGAAATACGAGGAAGCCCTATCCTCTGGATCGCTTAGCCCCAAGGCTAAGCATGGTGTCCGCAAGATCTCCAAGGAGATCAATTCTGTTGTTGAAGAGCCGAAGAAAGCCCTCTCCTTCGGCCAGGAACTCAAACTGGCTCTG